TAAGGGAGAACAAGAGGTTCAATAAAACATGGTGTGTCTGAAAATAGATTTCCTACACTTACGAACTATTTGTTTGTTACATCACTAATAGGTGGCTGTACGGTGCCAGGATCGAGCATGATAGGTTAATTGGTGGTTGATTGGACTTCAGAGTGGTCATCATACCTCGTGTCTTTGTTCTTAAAATGATCGGTATTTCTTATGTTGTTTACCAAAGAAGGTGTATCTTGCTTTCTGGTGTCTTTTTCTAAGTGCATCTGCGTCTGAAAAGCACAACGCAATTGCTCCGCACGCGTGAAAAACTGAACTGACTTTTGGGTTGGGCTTTCAAATGGCGAATGAATAAACAGTCAATAAAGATTCTATTCGTTCGCTCATTCAATCTCTCTTTCCTTCATCCAAGGACATGGTTGGTCAAAGGATTATTGTATACAGCTGGTGCCTTTTGTGACTAAGGAATTATGCGTATAGCCACTGCTGGGGACATTTACATATCGACAGGTGGGACACAGGTTCGAAGGGGCTGGATGAAACCATTGTTTGCGTCTAAACGGGGGAAGAGATTTCTCATTACTTTTTTGGTCCCAAAGAATAATCATAGGGTAGTCATAAAACATATATATATATATATATATGTAGCAATTAATACACATCGTTGTAGGAAAGATAACGTAACGTCCCTTGCGTCGTTTGAGCAATTAAAACTAACCTCCTTTCTTCTTAGTGTGACGTAAGCACTTACCTGTAGAAACAAATGGGACAGTCCAAAACCGAGCCATAAAGCTGTGGCTACCCAAGTTGTTCCCGCCAGTACAAGTTACAAGATCATGAAGGTAAGCGTGGAGGTAAGTGGGCTTTCATTTTCCCCACGTGGCGGCGCGAAATGGCCCCGGCGTTTTGTAACACTAACTAGCGCGCTTCATCTTTACCTGTAATTCGTGCGTCGACGTTGTACAAGTGTAATTCGGGGATTCGTTAGATTTTGAGGCCAGAAACACGATGCCAACTTGCGCTAAAGCTGGTGGCGCGAACCTAGACTCGGGCGTTGTATAATATTAACTCGTGCGCTTTCATGTCTACCTGTAATTCGTGCGTTGACGTTGTATATAGTGTAATTCGGGATTCTTTTCGAGACTCGAAACGGTATAGTTCTCACTTCGGCGTGGCGTGCTCAGTGGCGCTATATATATAAGCTGGTCGCGCAAAAGACATTGTTTCTTGATTTGTTGTATCATGGAGGTAGAACACTTGGTGATTTTCTACCTTCATGACTGTATGACTATGTCTTGAAAATGTGTAAGGAATTTTGAGTGCTACACAAAATTCCTTACATGATATTGTGTAATGGTTAGTCTAGGTGTAGTGATGTTATTTCACATGGCTTGGTTGGTTTTGTATTAATTTGTATGTTGATATTGTGATGATTCTATTGCTGTGGTTTATGCTTATATGTGGCTTGCAGCGCGCGGATGTGAATCTTTTACATAAAGGTTCACATCAAATGACGCTTTTCGTTGGGAAGTCAGTTTACTGGCTTAGCAACGAAAAGGGGCATCTCGCGACGTTGTTATAGTTGTAAAACGTGCGTGGTATAGATGTAAACGTTGTATAGTTTTAACCCGTGCGTTTCATAATTAAAGTAATTCGCGTGGACCCTAGATACTCCAAATACGATGCCCACATGCAGCGCGGCGCGGCGCGGCGCGGTTTGGTAGCTAGCTTACCACAACAAAAAATTTTCCACTAAATCAACCAGTCTCGTTCTTTCAGCAACCACTTGCACACACGTACACAAACACTATTGAATTCATTGTATTTCTTGTGCTCTTAGCATGGGAGCTATCTTAGTAAGATCGCTCCCAAGGCTATTGGGCTCTCCATGGTAGTATAATAACCCATGTGAATTAACACCACTAAAATCCATACAATTCCGAAGACCTACTCTGGAATTCTATGG